CGGGGGCGGAGGCGGGCCGAGCAATTTCAATCGCCATTACTACGCATGACTCGCGTACTAGCCAAGCAGCGTGCCTCCTCAACACCCACCAAACGCACTCTCGTCTCTCAAAATGCTTTTAGGAGAAATAAATCATTCATGAAAAGCACTGAGGGCAATATACGAGAGGGAACTACTGTGTTTGCCGATGTATAAAATGCACTTTATTCTCCACAATTCGTCAAAAAACAGGATTCGCTTTTTACAATGGATGTTTTTTTTTGGTTTTAATGTTTAGGATAAACGAAAATCAATTTTTTGTATTGTACACTGTTACCGTCATAACACTATTCAACTATTTAAATGTTTGTTGAAAACATTCTTAGAATATCGTTACTCAGTAACAGACGACAGGGTTTTATTTGCTGGCAATGAGTCGACAAGCAATCCGTTGCGTCTGAGATATTTGTTTCTCTCTCCCAAGTGTTGCGCAAGCACACTTCCTGGAATAGTGTTTACGTATTATCGAATGTCTTCGTATTGCAAATAACGTCCTCATTTGGTCCTCATAATGAGTGACAAACGAATTCTTCAACGGCCATTTATAAGTTTAAAGTTGTTAGATATGAAATATGGTAATCGTGTCGCAAAAGGAAATTTCGCACTCCAACCAATCAGAAAACTCCACCTGACTAGCGTTAAGATAGGGAGAAGTTCGGTCTTTCTCTGAAAAGTAAATGCTGTTTCACGGAAACTGCATTTATTTTTTGGAAGAAACCTCAGAGCTGCGAATTTGAAACAGAATTGTTAGATTGGGTTTTATAAAATAGAAAAACAAGAATTCGTTTTTAAAAAAAATTGATTATTACAGAAGCTCAAAGCATTGCAAGAAGAAAGAACGTTGAAAATGTTGTTGGGTCAAGTTCATGGTGTAAAAGATTTATGAAGAGGCACGGTCTTTCAATGCTAGAACTAGAATATCATCAAGACAGCTGACGGAATACGAAAAAATCATTGTTTTTCATAGATACGTTATTCAAGCAAGAAAAAATACTCTTTGAAATTCAGCTAATTTAAAATATAAATAAAGTTTCACTTACGTTTGATGTTCCAGGAAATAGAAATGCGGGCCAAAAAGGAGTAAAAACTAGTAATATTAAAACCAATGGACATGAAAAAATACTACTCTGTTGTTTTGTCCCGCTGTGCAGATGGTACATAACATTTTTTTATTTTCCCGAAAAAAAAATTTGCCCGTGGGAACCTGTCAAAAAGTATTCAATTTGTGTGCACCAAAAAGTCCGGATGGATGAAAATAGTTTGAAAATATGGCTTAATAAAGTGTAAGGAAAAAGACCAGGAGCTCTTAAAAAACAGCTCTGTTAATTTGGGTATAACTTCGAGCGCATTCAACTAACTTCATTTAACCAAAAATTAACCGAAAAGAAAACTGAAATCTCAGTTATTCTGGCAGGACTCACGTGTCAATTGCAGACACTCAACGTATCAATAAACAAGCCTTTCAAGGCATATATTTACGAGGAATGGAATAAATGATGTCAACAGGACAAGTAATGACACCAGAAGGAAAACTGAAATGTCCGTCCACATCGCAGGTCTGTGAATATGTCAAAACGTCCTGGAACAATGTTGACATCAGAATTGTTGTGAATTCTTTCAAAAAGTGGTAATCAGCAATTCCTTGGATGGAGCTGAAGATGATTTATGTTTTGAAAACAACTCAGATTCTTCACGTGACAGGACTGATATGTTTCCTAATACCGTGTAAGCGAAAATGTACTATTTCAGTTGAGACTTCATGTAAAATTGGTGAAGCTTAACAAGTAGTTCATGTAATCTTTAAAGAATGATATTTTTAAATCATTTATTTAGCTATAAAACACATGTTTATTGTATTTTTATAAAAAGTCATTTCTCATGAAAATACAATTCCAATTCCTTTCATTCAAATAAAGATCAAGTATAAAATTTAACTCTAAAGAATGAAATCCTTCGTGGAAACAGGGGTACGTATTAAACACGGGTTCCTCATATACACAGGCAAATATGTTAAATAAAATATTGGAACCATCAACAAAAATTATCACTTCCATACATCTTTTTGATGGACGGCACATCGTGTATAAATTTTTTAACGGCATATCATGTATAAATTTACCGTCAAATACCTTCTTAAGAGGATTGACGATAGAGGCAAAATTAAAGTCGAAACATCACAGAAACAATAGGTGAACAATGTTGCATCTTAAATCCTGGTGTTTCACAGGTAAATTCGTAAATTTTGGTAGTAAACACAAAGGTCTGACTTGGAAAGATTTAAAATACATATTTACCTTACAACGTGCGCAGTAAAGGAAAAATATTGTAATACTATGGCAAAATGTAACTTTTTGGCAGAAAAACTTATTATGGGGCTCTGGTGTCCAATAAAAGAGTAAATAATGTTCTTATGCGTATTAAATTACTTTCTCTAACACGTGAATTGTCAGTATCCACTTTGGTTGATTGACGGCAAAACATTGTCTGCCCGGCTGCCTTTCTTTCCATCCGTCTGGGACCAACGCTAGCGCCTAAACCGTTCAGCCGATCTTCTCCAAAACTGACAAATCTCGCTGAGTTAGAGACCACTGACTACGAAAGGGGTATTGGACTTTTGGGTGGGTTTTACAAGAAGATTCAATATTTTTAAAATTGTCTCGAAAATTGCTCCAAATTTTAGAGTACAAATATTCGTTAAAATCTCTGAAGTTTTGAAAATTGCCAAAGTTCAATTTTTTAGGAGTCTTTCTACATCTAGAGTATTGAAGAGACTTGCATATTTTTTCCTCTCAATAAAATCTGATATACAAATAATTTATTAAGCTATATTATAGGCAGCAATTTCAAAGAAATTAATATATAAAAACTTCCACAATTCTTTTTCCAAATACAGCACTAGACACCTACGGCACAAACACCGTTTTGGGTGAACTCTGTGTACCTTTGAAACTAGTTAACAATCAGCACATCAAAAGTAAAATATTAAACTAGTGATGCAACAGCAAATGCTTTTTAGTATTCTTTATAAATTTGGAGAAAATTCTGAAAGTTTAACGAACATGAGACCCACAACATTCATTTAAAGGTCCCATACTCTATCCGTAGAAAAAAACTAAAGAAAAAAATAGGAATTGTTTTAAGGAAATGTGTTTTGTTATAAATTACAAATATTTCAAGCCCATATTACGCAATTTTTTTTTCAAAAACTTTACACTATCTTATTTAAATAGCAGAATCGTTTTGGAACAAAGTTTGTCTAAGGCAAAAATCTATGTGTTCAATTTTGTAGTTTTGAAATGTTATTTATTTGCAGTTTTCGAAAATACGGAGAGTTTATTGAAAATGGGACCAGCACCATATTTTAACCGTCCCTAGGAGACAATAGTATCATGTATCACAAGAATAATAGTAAGTATAGAATAGTAATAACTATCTCAAGACTCTCGCAAAAAATCAAAATATCTGGTTGTAACACCAAACGACTCGAGTTCGTTCAGATCGATCAGGATATGTCAATTTTGGAAAAATCGGCTGAAGCGTTCAGGCGTTTACCACAGACGGAACGGATAGACGGACAGGCAGACCGTCAATCAATTTTTCGGAATCAAGGAAGTCCAGAACATGTATTCTGGCAACATCACGTGTAAGCTGAAATGTACTACATATATCTACCTTTTCGTTACCAAGGCTCGACAAAAAGAGTTTCTCCGCAGAAAATTTGTCGTTTGCCAACGTTAACATAATTTTCTATTTTAACGAAGTAG